TGGCTCAGACTGATAGTAAGCTTTCATAATAGAGGTGTTTTCTTCCCTACTCCAGATGTTTCGCTTTTTCACTTTTTCTTCCAGTAGCTTGTCAGCTCCATGCCCTGGGTACTTAGCAGAGGGAGCTGAGCCCTGTAGCTCATTTTGCGTAGAATGCCCAGGAGCCATAGCATCCAACAGAACCCTTGTTAATCCGGGCGACGGTTCAGCCGGCATAAATTTCATTTTTTTTTCGTATTCTCCATATTTAAATGAGTTGTGGAGCAAATTTTGTCTGGCCCTTCACCTAAGACCTGTCTGATATGGTTGTACCTGTTCAGGATATCCCTAAGGATCATTAGAGTGCGCAATTATTATTATTATTATTCTCTGTTTAGCCCCTCGGTCTCAGGGACAGAGGGCACCAATGAGACCTGGTGGCACAATGGTTAAAATGCAGTACTATATGATGCCCACAGCCAGGAGTTCGATCCTGACAGCTCAAGGTTGACTCAGCCTTCCATCCTTCCAAGGTGGGTAAAATGAGGACCAAGATTGTTGGGGGCAATTGCCTGACTCTGTAAACTGCTTAGAGAAAGCTGTAAAGCACTGTGAAGTGGTGTATAAGTCCAAATGCTATTGCTAACCACAAACACACAGCTATTTCTTAGCTATGTGCAGGAGATACATAACTGATTTCCCTGCTGTCTTCCTCAAAGTCCAAACTTGGCTATCATCTAATCCAAGATTTAAGTTGAAGGATATCTCATGCACATTTCTAGCTGTATATGGGGCTACATGAAAACAGCCATTGACAGCCAGGAGTTTCTGCAAGAAAAGCCCTCCCCCCCAAAAAAAATCAAGATGAGGGCCACAACCATGCCATTGACCCCATGACCTTTTTCAGACACATCAAGATGAAAGATTGGGCCTCTCAATGTCCACTACTAATCCACTGCCTTGGAGAACAACACCCCGGAAATCAAAGCCTGCCATTCAAGGGATGTTCACCCAAACATTCTGGGGCTCAAAATGAAGCACCAACAAGCCAGGATGTCCCACTTACCCGTCCCATCTCTCGCAGCTTAGTCAACATCACCACAATGGTTGAGTTGTTTTCCCACAGCATGCGCCAGAAGTCCTCTGTGGTCTCTGCCAAGGGTCCCTGGGTGGCGATGTAAGCCTTCTGTTGCCTGCAGGAAGGAGCAAGGAAAACCAACCCTATTTGGAAGGCAAGCTAAGGAGGCAAGGTGGCCTTTAAATGCAAATGAAGGTTTGTTCCATGACAGTCCAGAACAGGGGAGGGCAATTATGGAGACTTTAGGACCTGTGGACTTTAACTCCCAGAATTCCTGAGCCAGCCATGCTGGCTCAGGAATTCTGGGAGTTGAAGTCCACCGTTTATAAAGTCGCCACAATCGCTCACCCTGGTCCAGAAGAATGTTAAGACCGAGGTCAGGTTGGACAGCAAAGGTGGGATCGTCATCTTGAACCCACCAGCCCCAGAGAACAAAGGAGTGAGGGATGACTTTTGGTAACACTTCTCATCTCTTCCACGGTGAAGCATCGATGCTAAACACGTCACAAACTTCAGCCTTGCAGGATCTAACTTTGGCATGTAACTAGGAAGCCCACCTCCATCAAATGTCAGGAGAAACTTGATACGCAGAAATAAGGAACTTATTGTGGGGTCCTTGGTGCTCTCTGAGGTTGGTGGTTTTCTTGCAGACATTTCATGTTCTCATTGGTGATGTGACCTAGTTGAGTCATGAAACATCTGCAAGAAAACCACCAATCTCAGAGAACACCAAGGACCGCATTGTCCTCCTCTTCCTCTACTCCACAAACCCCACTCCCTTCTAGCACTAATGATCTTAGTTGGGTCATGAAACATCTGCAAAAAAAACGCAACCAAGCTTAGAGAGTACCATGGTTCCCACAGTTCAGCCTTGAGCTACAAATATTCTCTTGTATTGGTGAGAAACTATTTGTTTTCCAAATAAAAACATTGTTTTTAGCAGGGCTAATTTAGGGCACGTAATGTTGGGCTGCAGAGATCCATGTGAGCACTAGATGGAGGCAAAGAGCCATTTTATTTTTTTGGTTTCTCTCTGCTGTCACTCATGGTCCCTTAGATTCCTGCAGTTCAGAGATCCCAGGGCTTGATGCCAATAGGAGATGAAGACTTATTCCAGGGGCAACTCCTTACGAGAATAGGATCCAGAAACCCTTGTGGACCACTTAGAATTTCAAACAACCTTTTTGTCTATTCAGGCGTAACGTTCAGTAGGAAAAGCAAGGTAAAAAGAGAACAGGAACCGGGCCAGTGCATTCTGTAGCACAGCTCTTCAGAAGTCACACACACAATCTATGACATCATAGCACATAATATATACTGAGGACCAAGGATGATTGGCAGCCGGCATAGAGAACAGGAAGAGACAAAGGAACAGGCGTCTGTTCCACCTCCACCAGGGGGCTTTACCTGTATCCGTCAATGAAGCTGGCATTGATGTAGTCGGAGCCCTCGACTCCGCGGATAGGCTGAAGGCAAACCCGTGTGGTCTCGTATGGCATGATGTTGACAAGGCGATTTTTGAATTTGTTACAGGGCAGGTTGGCACTGATGAACCTGGAGGTGTGGGCTTTGGAGTTGGCGAGTCTCTGGCAGAGGAAAAGGAGCACAGGTGGGTGAGAGGGCAGCAGGTCACCTGAGTGGGCTTCTTCTCCTAGAATTCCCCATTTATTGTGGCCATTGTTGAAGGAATTCATGCTCACTCACCAGATGCATGGACTTCAACTCCCAGATTCCCCATCCATACAGGAACACTGCTGAGAATTCTAGGAGTTGAAGTTTTCCCTAGACACGCAGATTTCCATTCCCAGAATTCAACATGGCCTCTGTTTAGAATTCTTCAAGTGGAACCTTGCTCTAAAGGTCTGTTCTAGGACATTTATATGTGGGACACTGTTACATACGTAGGTCATGCTCAAAATTTGCCAGCCGGATTCTGGGCATTGATGGTTACTCTCAAACCTGTGCATTTCTACTCCCAGAATTCCCCAACCAGCATGGTTACTACTGGAACGTTTTTGAAGTTCAAATTTATGTGTCTGGAAGTCACCCAGGCTGGGAAACCCTGCATTAAATGAATATTGTCTATGCCAGCCCACCCAATGGAGAATTCTGTAGACCACATTCCCATCCGGATGTCTTTCCATCTTCCTGGTGCAGGGCAAGACCCAGGATTTTCTGAGTCCAAAGTAAATGCTTTCCCCTCTAAGTACAGATAGTCCTCGACTTATGACCACAATGGAGTCCAAAGTTTCTGTTGCTAAACAAGACAATTTTGACAGTGTCTGAATTTTATTCACATGACTGCGCTATAATGGTTGTAAGTGTGGTCATAAGTCCCCTTTTTCAATGCCATTGTAATTTCAAACGGGCACGAAATGAATGGTTAGAATAGAATAGAACAGAATGACAGAGTTGGAAGGGACCTTGGAGGTCTTCTAGTCCAACCCCCTGCTCAGCCAGGAAACCCTATGCCATTTCAGACAAATGGTTGTCCAATCTCTTCTTAAAAGCCTCCAGCAATGGAGTACCCACAACTTCTGAAGGAAATTTATTCCACTGGTTAATTGTCCTCGCTGTCAGGAAACTTCTCCTTAGTTGCTTCTCTCCTTGATTAGTTTCCACCCATTGCTTCTACTCTTGCCCTCAGGTGCTTTGGAGAATAGTTTGACTCCCTCTTCTTTGTGGCAACCCCTGAGATATTGGAACATGTTATGTTGTCAGTCGAGGATTATCTGTACAGATTGCAACTTTGTGCTGGCTAACCACTGCTCCCCCGCGAAGATGCAACAGAGCAACCTGCCTGAGCCACGCCCCCCCCCCCCCGGGAACCTCTGCTCACCTTGAACTCCAGTTCCATGCCTGTGACGTGCTCTCCCACCTCTATCTGTGCCAACCTCTGGATATAGGTGTACAGGTTCCGAGCGGGGACCTCCGTGTTTCCACAGGCGACGGCTTCTAGCAAAGAGTCGTGTATGAAACTGTACTGGTCTTCCGTCTGTACCATGTAATTTCGCTGGGACCTCATGAGGGTGACGTGTCCGTAAATGTCCACCGTCTTCTCGTGTTTTATTCTCTCCAGCATGGCATCGATGACAATAAAGCAGCCAGTCCTACCCACCCCAGCACTGGAAGAATTAAAAATGGGGTAGAGGAAAAATAGAGGATTAAAGAAATCCTTCATCTAAATTAGACTTAGAACTTAGAATACCTGTATTGTCACTTTGAATGTACACTAATTGGCATACACTAAAATGAAATTTCGTTGCATGCATGTCTATGGAGATTCTCAGCCATCTAAGGTCATGGTTGTCCCAAATGAAGGTTTTCAAGAGGCAGCTGGACTTCCTCTGTTTTCCCTTGAAGATGTTTAGCTTCTCATCCAAGAAGCTTCTTCAGCTCTGGCCGGATGGTGGGGAAATGGAAGGATTTATTCTCCTTCCATTCTGTCTGCAAGGAGTATAAACCCTTCCATTCCTCACCATCCGGTCAGAGCTGAAGAAGCTTCTTGGGTGAGAAGCGAAACGTCTTCCAAGAAAAACCAGAAAGTTTGTTGCCTACAGCTCTCAAAGTGTCACCACCTCCAATATGCACTTCACTAAATACACACTAAATAACGAAATACAAAATTATGCACGTGCCCACATTTGTTATATGACACACAGAAACAACACAGTCTGGTTTGGATGTATACATGTACAGGGCGAGAGAAATGAATCTTGCGAGTTTACCAGACGGAGAGCATTGGGAACAAAGCTGTTACAGAATCTGGTAGACCTTCTAGAAACACTTCGAAACCTCCTCCCAGAGGAGAGCAACAGAAATAGACCGTGAAGTGGGTGTTTGGGGTCTCTAACAAAGCTTCAAGCTCTAAGCACATAGCGCTCACAAGCAGCGTCCTGAATAACAGGAAGTGAGCTTCCTGTAATCTTCTCGGCTAAATGGTGGCTATGTAATTTCTACCCTCCTCCCTCAGAACTCCTGATGGTTTATTCATTCATTTATTAAATTTATATGCCCCCTCTCTTGCTGTTAACTCCACTCCGAGGAAACAAAGTCATAAGATACTTAACCAAATTGCCAACCTGGAATCGTGAATGTGTTGATTGATTCCAAATTAAATGGCTAAGAAAAGAGATGGAAATGCATGCTAAGCCTCTGGTAGAACAGGCACTATATTTATGATCTTAAGAGGCATTATATGGTCCTTCCTTTGTGCCTGCCTGCTAAGGTGGTAGTAGATGGATCAAGGTCACCTGTAGAAATGCAGGTAATCCTTGACTTACGGCCACAATTCAGCCCAAAATTTCCATTGCTAAGCCAGACAGTTGTTGTAAGATTTGTCCCATTTTACGACCTTTCTTGCCAAAGTTGTTAAGTGAATCACAGCAACTGTGACGTTAGTAACACGGTTGTTAAGTGAATCTGGTTTCCCTACTGACTTTGATTGTCAGAAGGTTGCAAAATGGGGGGATCGCATGACACTGTGACCGTCATAAACGCGAGTCGCTTGCCACGCATCCGAATTTTGATCACATGGCCACGGGGACGCTGCAACGGTCGCAAGTATGAAGAACGGCCCTATCACTTTTTTTCAGGGCTGCTGGAGGTTTGAACAGTCACTACGCTGTACATAGAGGGTTAGCTATGTGGGGATAAATCAGGCCTTTCCAGGCTGGCTCCTTAACCGGGGATGTTTATGTGCGGTGCTGAAGGGGAAAATCATTTTTTAGGCTGACATCTCGATGGCTGTATCTAGTGACCTCCTGCTGTCTGATCTTAAAACCAGAAGTGACTTGAGGGCAGTGGGCGATCTGTTTGACTTAGATTACATTCGTCAGGAGGATGTAGGCTGGGCGACATCAACAAGCCGATAGCTCCGGGGTTGCTGTTTCACAAGGAATTGGATGGGTTGTCATTCTCTGAGTCGCGAGTGCGTGTGCCAGGGAGGGAGCGCAAGGTGGGGAGGTGCGCTGGCCGACTTATCGGTGCCACAGGGTGCTTCCCTCTGCATTTCACCTATATAAAAGCTTCCCAAACAGGATAAGGTGCAGAGGGGGGAGGGGGAGGCTGCAAAGGGGACGCTCCTGTTCCACTCTGGTTGTTATTACAGGTAGTCCTCGACTTACGACCAAAATTGAGCCCCAAATCTCTGTGGCTAAGCAAGACATTTGTTTGGCCTTTCTTGCCGCCGCTGTTAAGCAGATCATGGCAGTTTTTGTGTTAGCAACATGGTTGTTCAGGGAATCCGGCTTCCCCCATTGACTTTCCTGGTCAGAAGGTCATAAGAGGGGATCCTGCGATCCCTGCAAAGGTCATGAATGTGAATCAGCCTGCCAAGAGTCTGAATTTGGATCACATGACCATGGGCCACAATGGTCATAAATGTGAGAAATGGTCATAAGTCACTTTTTAAAGGGATGCTGTAACTTTGAACAGACACTAAATGAACTGTTGTAAGCTGGGGACTACCTATATTCCTTAGGTTTGTGTGCTGCCAAAGCATTCAGACTCCTGAGGAATCCATTTGAAGGAAAGAGAGAAAAAGTGGGCATTTAAAAAACCCAAACCAAAAGAGAAATCACATTTTGGGGAGCTGGGTGCCAAGGGGCCTCTCTGAGGAATGCTCCACTGCAGACCACTGAACAGCCAATTTCTCTGTGCCAGAGGGCGACGGAAGCAGGGAGGGAAGGAACATCCCATAGATAAGATCCCATAGATTAAGCCTCCTCCGAATTCCATCAGCCGGTCAATGTCGACTGGCAACTACCCGGAGGAGAGCCTTCTTGGTGGCTGCTCCGACCCTATGGAACGAACTCCCCGTGGAGATTCGTACCCTCACCACCCTTCAGACCTTCCGCATAGCCCTCAAAACCTGGCTGTCCCGACAGGCCTGGGGCTAAAGACTTCAACCCCACCCGAATAGTACGACTGTTGTGGTTTTTAACGATGTATTGTCTTATGTGTATAACTTGTTTTGTACTTCCCCTCCCCTTGAATTGTGAGCCGCCCTGAGTCCCCCCAGGGAAAAGGGTGGCATACAAATAAAGTTAAAATCTTAAAAAATCTTAAATCTTAAAAAACATCTAACCATTTATTGCAATTTCCCAGCCTGCAACTCAATTACAACCATTTGTTTAACAGCTGTTGGAAGTTACAAGTTGCTGAAAAAAGGTCCTCGCCCTTATGACAGTCGTAGCATTCCCACAGTCACCTAATTAAAATCCAGGCCCCTGGCAACTGGGATGCATTGACGATGGTTGCAGACTTCTTGGGGTTATTGGTGACTTGCCCAGCCTGCTTCTGACAAGACCAGCCAATGGGGGAAGGTGGATTTGCTTAATGATCAGCGGTGGGTTTCACATTTTGTCACCACCGGTTCGCCCCGCACGCGCCCGCTAACTTTGCGCGCACATTCTGTGTATGTGCCTGGTCTTCCGTACATGTGCTTTGCTTGCACACGTGCGTGTGCCCGGCCTCAAAAACGTGCCTAAATAGGACAGCATAAAGCTGGGTTGAGGGGGGGGGGGGCGGCACCCGCGATTTCCGCTACCGGTTCGGGCGAACTGGTCCGAACCAGCTAAATGCCACCTCTGTTAATGACCATGTGATTTACTTAAAAACTGCTGTGATTGTGGCTCAACGATTGTGACAAAAAGGTCATGAAATCAGGCTCTGCTCACTTAACAACTGCCTTGCTTAACAACAGAGATTCTGGTTCCAAGTTGAGAGCTACCTGTGCTTTGTTCATTTGAAGATTTGCAAATTTCTCCTTTTTTGAGAAGTTGTTTTTTTTTCTTTTTAAATAAATAAAAAAAATCCCTCCACCATCTAATTCCATCATCCCCTGCCTGTGATTCTTTCCTTTTTTTCTGGTGGCCATTTGATCTGAATAGCGATTCGGCGAGAGTTTATAGATCTGTTTATTTCCAAAACAAGAAATAATTTCCCTCTTCTCAAAACAGAGGGGCGTCTCCAGCCTGGTCCACAAATTCAGGTAAGAGAAACATGAGCTTTGACATAGGCAGGGCTCTCGTTTGCTGCACAGCAATTCCCGGGGGGAATTGATTATAGCTTTTCTGTGATAAATTCCTTCTCCGAAGTTTTGGGATTCTTCTGTGTTCGTTTAATTGGTTTGAGCCTAGCTTTGCGGGGAGAAGCGTAACAGATTGATCCTCGCAGCCCAGATGTCAGATGTGGAAAGAACACTATTAAGAAGCTCAGATAACAGTCCTGAATGACTACATTTGGAAAGGTTAATATTCACACAGACAATTTCATCCAAATCTCACTGCTGTGAGAATGTCCCTCTTAATTATAAACAAACATCTCCAGATCCTGCTTGATTGTCAAGGTTTGATAAATGGATCCTAATGTTAGGTTTCATCCACAGGCTGTAAAGACGATTGTTCCTCGTGCAAATTAGAATTAAATTCAACTGCATACTCGGACCCCATTTTGAGCAGAGAAATTCAGCTTCTGCCATGGAATAAAATATTGTCCTATATATTATCTTCATAACCACTAAAGTTTGGATCTTATTACAGGGGAGAGGGGGCAGACTGGCACAATTGAGGAGGCCATCAAACCTTGTTCTGAATCGCTTCAAAATGAGATGGGCAGCAAATCAATTTAATAAATAAAAATAAATCCTCGCCTTGTACCATCACCACCAATTGGGGCCCCCAAAAGTGGGTACCTGCAGTGCACGACGATGGGGCCAGCATCGGGCGGGTTGCATGTTTTCACTCTCCTGAGAAAAGCCAGAAACGGAGTGGGGTATTCGGGAACGCCGTGATCTGGCCAGGCAGTGAACTGGAACTGGCGGACTTCACGCTTTTCACTGGAACCGTTCTGTGGAGGCAGAGCAGAAGGGGAGACGGTATGACTTACTTATCTTGCGCAACCTCTTACAAGCAAATGAAAGCACAGGCTGAATTGGTTGTTGTTCCTATCACATACAGGTATTTTAAATTACTTGCTTCCTGGTCTGTCTGTTCAGCCCAACTCTGAATAACTCTGATCCTTCAGATCCTTAAAGACAGCCATCCTCTCTTCTCCATACTAAACATACCAAAAGAAAGAGGCCTTGTTCTCACCTTGTGCAGGGAGAAGGTGCGGACACAGAATGTGGCCAACTCAATTGTATCTAACAAGGTCACTTGGATCATCCCGTAAGTCTCTGTGCCCCGGCCTGGCCAGTACTGGTCACATTTGATCTGAAAAAAATAATCAATATATGGGTTGTATTATATAATTAGCTCCACACGACAAATACGAACAACAGCACAAAACATAAGGATACACTGAACTTGTTCATGTTTGACCTACAAAATCAGAGATCACCAATTGACTGTCAGCTGCCTGTCTTTCCTAAGTGGACATGCCAAAGGTTACAAGTAATCAAAATCTGGCACTGTGAAATCCTGAAGTCTGCATTAAAATAAATTTGAGTTCAGGTCATCTTCACCCCTGCGATTTCAGGGTGAAGTGGCTTTGTGGTTTTCAAGTCTCATTTCCAGGGAACTGAATTTTGAATCCAACATCAACGCTGGAAGTTTCTCCTCTGATCTTTAATTGCAGAACTGTTCAGTCCCATTGGAGATATGATCTAATCGATTTGCCTCATTTATGAAATGTCAATAAATCACAAGGGTCAGGGATTCATATGGGCAGACCAAAACATTAACATTCGGCGACAGGGTAGAGGGAAAACAAAAGAAGTTGGGATGGATTTTTTTTAAGCACTTGCATAAAAAATAAATAAATTCCCTAATGTTCATTCATTGGATCAGCTTGTTTAATTATTTTATTAGGCTTTGAGGCAGCTCTAATGACAGTTCTCAGCAGTTTACATCTCACCTCTTCAAGGTAACAATGTAATAAACATAAATATATTAATAAAATATAAATATAAAATGTATCACGATTGACACGTTCTCTATATGAGGTACGATGGGTAATCAATTAATACATTCAACCTCAAACCAGAAAGAGCTTTCCATTTGCAGAAGGAATAAGGAAAGTAACAGCATTCCACCCCCTAAGTTAGGGAGGGGAAGTGGCAGAAATAAAAAAAAAAGTGCCATTGTTTACTTTTTTAAAATTTCTCCTAACTTAGGGGCTGGAATGCTGTCATCTTCAAAACTGCAGTACCAAAGCTGTGTCCTTTTACATGCATTACACATATGGCACACATAAAAAAGCACAGGCCCTTGGCTGTATTTAATGGCCTTCCCCAAAACTGAAGGGAAACATTGGGCCATCTAGAGAGGAAAATATTTGTAGCTCAGGGTGGAAGTGTGAGATCCTGGGTGCTCTCTAAGCTTGCTTGTTTTCTGGGAAATGTTTCATTACCCAACCTGGTAACATCATCAGTCTGAGGGAGAGAAGGGTCTGATGCCTATTTATATACAGTGCCAGTGCAGGTGGGGCTGTGGTTTTCCTCTTGGGAATTTCTTGATTAGGGCATTTCTACTTTATTGTTTGTCTGGTGTTAATCTCTGATTATCTGGATGTAGGAATCTGTTCTGTTCTTTTTGTTTCCTTCTTAGCCTTTTTTCCCTCTCTCCTTCGAATGGTGTGTAAATGTGATTTATCCATACATGTCTACTGATGCGTTTATCTGTCTCAATGCCAAGCTTCCAGGAACTCCCTGGCATTTTTGGATTTAACCTGCAGCTTAGTGCTCAGCACTGATGATGTGACCTAGTTGGGTAATGAAATGTCTGCAAGAAAACAGAGAGCAGTTCAGAGTTCACCAAGGATCCCACAGACCCCCTCCCCCACTTCGCCCTCTTCTTCCTCCTCTCTGCAAATCCACTCCTTTCTGACACTGATGTTACCTAGTTAGGTAATGAAACATTGGCTAGAAAACAACCAAGCTCAGAGAACACCAAGGATCCCACATTCAGCTCGCTATTTTTCACAATAAGTTAGGCAGGAGCGCCGTCCAACTGACTGCATTTTTTTCCCCTCACCCTGGATTTCTCCTCCAGCTTTGTCATCATCACCACCGTAGCGGAACGTTGCTCCCAAACCATCCGCCAGAAGTCACCAAAGGTCTCCGGCAAAGGCCCCTGAGTGGCGATGTAGGCGTTCTGCTTGCGGTACCCATCGATGTAGTTGGCGTTAATGTAGTCGCTCCCTAGGATGCCTGTATGTGGAGCAGCCAAAAGAAGAAGAGCCATATTGGAATCAAAGGCTTGGGTCAATTCCTGGGCTTTTTGAGAGCTGCATAATTAATCCCACCCTCTCCAAAACAGCAGCTGCAGAGAGACAGGGAGACAGTCTGGAAGCAAATATTGCCAGGTTTTTAAAATTCAGTGAGCTCCAGCCACACTTTTAGTTGTCAACCAAAGAAGTATAATTCTCTGCACAAGCCTTTCCTTAGGGAAGGGGAATTTTTCCTTTCCTTTCCTTTCCTTTCCCTTCCCCCCTCACCTCCCTTTTCCTTTCCCTTCCTTTCCTTTCCTTTCTTTCTTTACCGTGTTCCAATATCTAAGGGGCTGTCATAAAGAAGAGGGGGTCAAGCTATTCTCCAAAGCACCTGAAGGCAGGACAAGAAGCAATGGGTGGAAACTCATCAAGGTGAGAAGCAACCTAGAACTAAGGACCAATTTCCTGACAGGAGGACAATCAACTGGTGGAACAGCTTGCCTCCAGAGGTTGTGGGTGCTCCAACACTGGAGGTTTTTAGGAAGAGACAGTCATTTATCTGGAATAGTATAGGGTTTCCTGCTTGAGCAGGATTGGACTAGAAGACCTCCAAGGTCCCTTCCAGCTCTGTTATTCTGTTTCCTTTCCTTTCCCTTCCCTTCTGCTTTCCGTTCCCTCTACTTTCACGTCACTATGCAACAGCGCTAAGCAAATCGGCAAAGGCAAAGGACCGGCGGAAGCTCTCCAAACACTCCTCCCTCCCTGAAATTCAATCAAAAACGTTTGCAAGCTTCACTCCCCCCCCCACCCCGGTTTCCCCTCCCTCTCCCCTCCTTGCCCCACCCTGAGTCCATGAAATTACCTTGCACCCAGAGAGCAGCAAAGCAATTGAAAGAGGTTAAGCTGCAAAGAGGCTGCTCCTGACCCTAGCCGGCCTTTGAAAGGAGCCGGGGATGCAGATTAAAAAATCCATTTTGTCCAAGGCCCTCTTTCAACTTCGCCCTTGGAAAGTTTAATGGCGCTTATTGGCTTTATGGAGTTCAGCTCCGCCATCAGAAAGGACAGCTGCTCTGAGCTGCCAGTTTGCGGAAAGCAGGGCCAAGCAAAATCCCCCAAGAGTAACGTTTTTCCTCTGGACACGGCCGTGCTGGTAATTTCTTTGAACTCCATACCTATCAGTTTGACCTCTGCAGCACAAACGAGAGCAACCTTACATATTAAGTCTGCTTCAGCCCCCTTCCAGAAAGGATTTCTATATTCCGCTAACACGGAAGACAAAGCAGCCCAGCGTCAGCTGCATTGACCTGACATATCTTTAAATTAAAGAACCAGCTTTGCTCAAAAAAAGGAGGCTGAATGTCTGAATGCACGTGTAATTAAAAGAAAAATATTTTTCTTTTCTTTTTCCTGATGCCTCTGGGGGGAAAAAAAGGCACCGTTTTTCCCATATTGTGCAGAAGGCTACGCAAGGCAGGGTTGGGTCTGTTTAGGGTTTAGACGGGCAAAAAAACCCCAAACTTGATACCCCTTTTCGCACTGTGGCCGAAAGAATCACATGAAACTTGCAAAAAATAGAATTGCAGGTAGTCCTCAACAAATGACCACAGTTGAACCCAACATATCTGTTTCTAAGCAAGACAGTTGTTAAGTGAGTTTTGGCCCATTTAAGACCTTTTTTTAAGCGAATCACTGCAGTGGTTAAATTAGTAACATGGTTGTTAAGTGAATCTGGCTTCCCCATTGACTTTGCTCGTCAGAAAGTCACAAAAGGGAAATCACGTGACCCCGGGACACTTCAACCGTCATAAATGTGAGTCAGTTGCCAAGTGCCTGTATGTAGGTCACAGGACCACGGGGATGCTGCAACGGTCGTAAGAAAACTGTCAAAAGACACTTTTTTCAATGCCAGTGCAACTTCACATAGTCACTAAACTAATGGTAATAAGCCAAGGACTATCTGCACTTGAACTGAAAAGGAAAGATAAATATGATACTTGTCACATGTTCCCTTCCTGCATTCTGCCCTCATTCTCGGTAAGATCAGGGAAAGCAGCTGGATTTTGGAAAAACTGAAGTTTCCTCCCTGAAGACTCCCTCGTCCTCCGGTGAATCAACCTTAGGGATCCCCAATGGCCCCTCCTTTAACTCAAACTGACCGATCAGATTAATTTGCTATTTCATTTCAAAGTGGAGCAAGAGAATAGCCATTAAAGCCATTTACAGTACTTCCAACAGCTCCGGCTGCAGTCTGATAAAGACGTCGCTCCAATGTTGTTACCGCTTAATCCAGAGGACACGGCAACGGTCAAGAGGCAGAAAAGAATCCATGAAGGGGGCATGCTTAAGCATTAGGAGAATCCTCTGAACAGGTGAGGCAATCGGGTTGTTGTAGAGGCTATTTAGGAGCAGGGACAGGATTGTGCGATTTCAGGTTGCAAGTTATGGTCTTGTTCCTTGAGGTGGTAAGTAGGAAAGATTTGGGGTCTCCAGCCATTCCTGGAGAATTTGGCAGCTGGGTAGCCTTAAACACACCCTCTCCCCCTCATTGCTGGAAGAAGCTATATGCGGTAAGCCACTTCTAAAACTGTTGCCAAGGAAACCACATGGACCTATCTATGTAGTCCCCAGGAGTTAAGGAGGACTTGAAGGACCACAAACCAATCACCAAGGAACAAAGCAATCAAAATTGCTCTCCCAGCCTTTTCCAACCTGTAGGACTTCAATTTCTAAGATTCTCAGCCTGTGTAGTCAAAACAATGGCCAAAGACATCATGAAAGGATACCGAGATACATTTCTAACTATCCTGCATCAGTCCAAGAGATTTATCATCACAGAACAATGCTGACTGCCAGCTAAAGAGAAAGCACTCAATCTTGAGTATATCCAATGACTCCAAACTTTGCGCCTAAATTTGGTTCATCGGTGGCATCAGAAAGGTCCCACAGTAATGGTTAAAATATGAAGGATGGATGAGATTTGAGCTGTGGAAGAAACTAATTAGGCAGGGAACCAACCTAGAATGAAGGAGAAATTTCTTGACAGAGAGAACAATTAATCAGTGGAATGACTTGCCTCCAGAAGTTGTGGGTGCTCCAACATTGGAGGTTTTTAAGAAGAGATTGGGCAGCAATTTGTTTGAAATGTTATAGGGTTTCCTGAGGGTTGGACTAGAAGACCTCCAAGGTCCCTTCCAATTCTGTTACTCTGTTAAGAAGCTAAGAAGTCAGGAAGCTTTGGAATGATATAATGGGGAAGTGAACATGCAACCAAGTCAAGGGTCGGTCAGCTCTAACATCGTTATTCCTAGGATGAAATTTTAGTGGAGGAAAGATCCTCAGGTATGAACCCCCAGATCCAGGATGATATCCATGGAGATTCTCAGTCCAAAGGTGCTTTTACAAGAGGCAACTGGACTTTCTAGTTTTGCTTTAAAGACATTTCACTTCTCATTCAAGAAGCTTCTTTAGTTCCGTTCTCAGAACTTTAGTACTTCAGAACTGGAGAAGCTTGTTGGATGAGACACGAAACATCTTCAAGGAAAAACAAAGAAGTTACAGTTGAAAAAGCACCTTTGGGACAACCAGGATAATACAGTGGTAAAGAATGCAAGATCACAACCATCCAAGCCCTGAGTTTTTCCTATCTCCAAGAAGCTCGGATCTATTTTCTCCTTCTCAAAGAATCACTGTAGATTAAACGTGGTGGATGAGAAGACCAGGAAGTCCTCTTCAGCTCATCTAAGATTTGTACCTCAAGCCTTTGAACTCTGGTGCTGGAAAAGACTCCTGTGAATCCCTTGGACTGCAAGGTGATCAAACCAGCCAGTCCTAGAGGAGATCAATCCTGACTGCTCTTTAGAAGGTCCTCAATCCTGAAGAGGAAATTCAAATACTTTGGCCATCTAATGAGAAGGAAAAAGGACTCCCTAGAGAAGAGCCTCATGCTGGGAAAGCTTGAGGGCAAGAGAAGAAAGGGACG